GTTTAAAATATGATTGCTATATATGTATACTTTTTTTCTTCTTCATTTCTTCAAAAAATGTTAAAATTAAAGATGTTTATTGATATGAAATTATAAATACAATCAACATAAAATGGAGCTTGATCAGAGGCTGAAATACACCAAGTAAATGAGATGAAGGGTGTGGAAGAGAAGAGAGAGGTAAGGGAAGAAGAGAGGGATAGGAGTGAGGATAGTGGGGGGAGAGGAGGAAAGAAAGAAGGGGTGGAAAGGGGGGAGAGGAGAAGAAGGGGAAGTAGAGAAGAGAAAGATGACAGAGGGAAGAAAAGAGGTAGGGAGGAGGAGGAGAGAGGGAGAAGAACATGATGGACAGGGTACAAATATGGTGTATAGAGAGCAGAGGAGCCAATAATCATTTTGGGGGGTTGATGGTAAGCTGAATTTATGTTAATATTTAATAATACAGAATAATGGTGGGGAAGTAACAGTATACATATGGTTATTTGTTATGAAAATGAATAGATAGATAGTTATAGATATAGATACCCAATACTGTTAGTGAAGATACTGAAACACAACTTGTTGAAAAGTTGAAATCAAGAAAATTCTCAGTATAAATGAATGAATCAATTCTGAGAGACAATGAGGCCCTATTGCTAACCTATGCAAGATATATTGATAAAAGTGAATTTGCTGAAGAAATGTTATTCTGCAAATCATTAGAGACCACCACAACCACTACATACATACATCTAAAAAATTACTTATGTATCAATGGGAAACATAACATCTTGTCCTGCAGACGGTGCTCCTGTTGATGGGCAAGAAAAATGGCTGCTTGAAATTGATGAAAGATGAGAATCCAGAAATGCTTCTTGTGCACTGTGTTATTCATAGAGAGAACTTAGTGTCCAAAAATATTTTTCCTATTCTCAATGAGGTACTAAAATCAGTTATAAAATGTATCAATACTATCAAAGCTAATGCCAAGTGTGAGTGTCTCTTTAAGCAATTTTGTGAAGATAAAAACGCAGAGCGTGTGAGACTTGTACTTCACACTGAGGTAAGGTGGCTTTCAAAGAGAAATTGTGTGAAAAGATTCATGGAAATATATTATGTTCTTAGTGATTTTTTAAGTGACAAGCCTGAAATGAAGAAGCTGCTAACCATTGATGGTAAAGCATTTGGACGTTATTTAGCAGATATCTTTGAAAAACTGAATACGTTGAATAAACAAGGAACAAATAAAACTCTTACTGATGCAGCAAAGCAAAGATATTTGGCTTCATTACAATTATAGAGTTATGTCAAAAACATATTTCTGACAAAAAAAATTGTACATTTCGTTGGCTAAAAAAGTGTGAGGTGGCTGATGCTGCTATACTTGTCATTGTGAATCATCTGAAAATATTGGCCTCGGATTTGAAAAAAAGATTTTCAACAAATTGATTTTCCAACATGGGTAGTGCAGCCAGTGCTGGTGGATCTATCTGATGTTTCAATACAGTGCCAAGAAGAACTCTTGGAAATGCACATGATGAGTCACTTAAAACTTGAAAATATAAAAGGAGTGATGGCTTTGTGATGAGGCAGAAACTAAATACCCAAATTCAACCGACTTTACAAGAAAACTGCGGTTACCGTCCCCATCTTCATATTTAGCTGAACGTGGCTTTAGTGCTGTGAATGATTTGCTACTGAAGAAAAGAAATTGACTGGATATCACTGAGACTTGAGAATGAAGTCGACTAAATTGGAGGCTAATATAAAATCTCTCTGCAACAGGCATCAATCACAAGGATCTCACTTACTTAAGTAGACTAAAGCTGCAATCCTACAACATTTCCCCAGGAGTAAGCACCATTGAAGACAACGGTCCTTACTTCTGAGTAGACATGCATAGGGTTGCATTGTAAACATGATCTTGAGGTGAGCTCAAATTGTACTTTGAATTTATTTATTTTAATATGTATACTAACTAATATGATTAAAGTATTACAGAAAAAGCTTTCATTAAAATTATTTTATATTTATGCATTTCAGTTTCTATTATATGTTTTGAAACTTTATTTGCTGTTTTTTCATATCCCTTCATACTATTATTTTTAAGTTCCTCAGTACTTCTAGTATCTTTCATTCTTTTATTTTTCTCTTTCATGGATGTTGTGTTCTTTAAAACCTTGTTTAAACCAAGTTAATGGCCTTTTAGGCTTCCTCCGTGTGCATAGGAGTTAACTTTTTGAATAGTAAGAATTATATGTCATGGAGGGGAGGGTATCAGTATTTTAGAGATGCTTAGGTGGGGCATGGCCAAAAAAAGGTTGGAAACCGCTGGTCTAAAGATTGGTCATCCCACCCCCACAATTTTATCCCTTTGGATAAGGTGAGCCAGTCTTTTCCTGAATACATTCTCCCTGGTTCTGATGAAGTGCCTCCCATTCCTTGCCAGAAGCCCTTGGTGTAGGTAATGCAGACAGTGGTCTAAGATATATAGTCTATTATATTTAAGCCTTAAATGTTTGTTTACAACGTATTTCAAATCCCTGCCCTAGATTTGTTTTCTTGTCTTTCAGTCATATTTAAGATCCCACAAGTATTCAAATCAACAGGGATAACCACATAATCCAGATTTGATTCCTTTTTTCCCTACCACTTCGGAGGCAGGCTTGATTATCACAACACTCAGGGGGAAAAAACTCCCAGTTAAAATCTAACAGCTCTATTCCCACAGCTTCCCTGTGGGGTTTTTTCTCAAGGGAGCCCCAGCATTCATGGGACAGAAGGCTGCATCCTGTTCCAGGGGACACTTGGGGGGGATGAGCCATTTTGCTGGGCCATTTTGCAAAAGCTGCTTTTATTAAATCAGGAATTTGAGTATTAAGACTAGGGGACTGTGGCATTCGTTATATGTTGATGTATCAGGATTGCTACAAATCACCCAGAGCCTTTGAAGTAGGCAGAACACAAAATGTTGCCCAAATAAGAAAATTACGGTACTTTAGCTTTAATAATAATTAATAACTTAAATTTCTATGATCCAAACTCCCAGTGACTCTGGGCAGTTATTGTCAGTCTGTTTCTGTGCCATGCCAAGAGGTCGCTTTACAACGTGCGGAACCACAAACGATCCACTCCATTTTTAGCAGAGTTTCAGGCACCTGTAAACTCAGACATTAAACCGGGAATTGCGGAAACGGGAGCGGTAGAAGGCGAGCTGGCCGGAGCAAAAGGCCTTTCCTTTGCGCTGATCGGAACCCTGTTCGGTTTGCTCCATTATTTGACTCCCCTCCTCCTCCTCCTCCTCCTTTCCTAGTGGTTTTCCACAGTATTCTCCGCAATATCTTCCGGACCCGCCTTGGGAGCCAAGGCAGATCCGAGGAAAGCTGCTCCAAACCCAGCCACCGCGTCAGCACAAGAGATCGCCCAGACTCTTTCCTTGGTCCGGAGGCGGCCGAAGCCTAAGGCTAAGCCGGGTACGCGGCCCACCGCGGAAGCCGCTTCCCAGATCTGCCCCCGGCCAAGACCACCTGCTGCTGCCCCTCGCCAAGAGCGGAAGAGGCCGGGCAACCCATGCGCTCAATCGGGGCTTACCGTGCTTGCCATAGTAAGTCTCCTCTTCCCTCGCCATCCCCTCCGCCGCCTGGGCTGCCCTGCTCGCCTTGGCTCCTTCTCTCCCCACCTCCGTCCGAGTCAGCTGCTCAACAGCCACCCAATGAGGCGCCTCGGACCGGCTCTCCCTCGGGGGGGGGGGGAGAAGAGCCGCCCAATCCTCCTTGACAGGCGCCTCTCTGCGCTCCAAAAGCCCCCGACAGAAACCGCCTTAGGGCGTCGCGAGAGTCCGGGTTTCGTCTTCCCCACGCCGGTCTTTTTCCAAACGGAGCCTCCTTGGACGCCCCATTTTCTCAACCAAACGCAACACCGAAAATCTCGAAACTACCCCGCCTCTCTCCCCCCGCCCCCCNGCCACGCCCCCTTATCTATTTATTCCTTATTAATTCCTATTTTGGGTAGATTGGGGGGTCTCACACCCCACACACCCCCCAAAGGCCATTCCTTCTTTATCTATTTATTCCTTATTAATTCCTATTTTGGGTAGATTGGGGGGTCTCACACCCCACACACCCCCCAAAGGCCATTCCTTCTTTATCTATTTATTCCTTATTAATTCCTATTTTGGGTAGATTGGGGGGTCTCACACCCCACACACCCCCAAAGGCCACCCCTCCTTTATCTATTTATTCCTTATTAATTCCTATTTTGGGTAGATTGGGGGGTCTCACACCCCACACACCCCCAAAGGCCACCCCTCCTTTATCTATTTATTCCTTATCAATTCCTATTTTGGGGCAGGTTGGGGAAGGGGGATTGGGGGGGGGGTGTCCTTCCCAGTGCCCACACACACCCCCACACACACCTTGTCCCAGCTGAGCCACTGCCCCACCGCCCGGTCCAGCTGGGCGTCCCCGGTGCTGCAGCCGATCAGCAGGTTGGAGTTGACATCCCCCAGCACCACGTCCCGGGGGTCGCCCATGGCTCTGGATAGCCCTGGAGGGCGAGGGGGGGTTTCTAACAAAGGAGGACGGGGGGGAAACGGGAGTCGGGGGGGGTCAGGCGGTCGACCCAGCTGCGGCGGCGGCGGCGCTCCCCGTTCACACGTGCAACTGCAGGCAGAGCGACCTGCAGGCGGGGGAGGATCGAAGGGGGGGGTCACGTGACGGGCCTGCTCCTCCCGGTAGCCCCCCTCCCCTCTCTGCCTGTCTGAGGGGCTCTCGGGAAGGGCGGGGGAGGGGGGGAGGAGTGGCGAAAGCAGGGGGGAGGAGGGGCTTCCCCAAAAATGGTCGGGGGGAGGGGCTTCCCTAAAATAAGCGGGGGAGGGGCCTGTCAATCTTCCCTTCTGCCCCTTCCCCCCCCCCCAGCTGTTTTTCCTGAGGTAATTCCTTTTTCCTCACAAAAATTGCTGTGGGAGGGGGAAAAAGCCATAATTGAGGTTTTAGATAAGCGTCCTATAAATATTGGGAAGAGAAAAAGAGGGGGAGGGGGGGGGAGACAAGACCCCCCTCCTCATCCTAAGGGGAGCCCTCCTCGCATGACGACCATCGCCGCAGCCTCCTCGTTTCTCGCGCGCGCGCGCGCCAAAAAATAAAAGCGCTCCTCGGCAACTGCCTCCTCTGAGGGAAAAGGCGGCGGCGGTTTGTGCGCATGCGCTGAGCGACACCCCCCCCGCATGGGCGGAGAAAGTGAAGCCGCCGCCGTGAAGGGCCCCGCCCATCCATGCCTTCGTCAGCTCGAGCCGCGGGCGCTGTTGGGAAATGTAGTCGGGGGGGGGCTTTACCNTAGCTGATGAGAGCTAAATAGCTTGAAATAGATCTATACTAGTCTCCCTTTATTTATTTATCAGCACAAATAAAACACACACACACACACACACAAAATGGGCCTTACTGTGAGCTTCTCTCCCTAATAAATGCAGGTAAGATTGCAATACAGGTAGTCCACAACTTAAGACCACAATTGAGAACAGAATTTTCATTTGCTGAGCCAGATGGTTGTTAAGTAAATCTGCCCCCCTCCTCTTGCTGGAAGCCAGCTGAGAATCTTGCAAATGGTGACCAAGTGACCTTGGGATGCTGCAGCCATCGTAAATACATGCCAGTGGCCAAGGGTCCAAATTCTGATCCCGACTATGGGGATGCTACGGTGGTTGTGAGTGGAAGCCTGCTCAAACAGGAAATGTAACGGTGGACCAAACTGTGCCGGTTGGTACTCTCCAGCCTGGCAATATGCAGAACCTCTTCAAGTCAAGCTTCACATGAAAAATATCCTTTCCACGTCATTTGCCCGCAGTAACAGTAGAAAGGGAGGCGGAAAAAACAATATTTGAAAATCTGACAATAAGCGAAAGGCAGCAAAGCAAGAAGCGGTTGCTAGAATGATGAACAGGTTTTCTCAAAGCAAGGTCATATTCCTGGCTGAGAACATCCAAAGTTCCAGTAAGAACTGATGTTATTTCTAGATACATAGCACCAATGTCTTGCATTAGCTAACCCTTTGCTGTTGGGAAATAAGGAAAATGAACTCTCGTTTAATCATAAACAATATCAGATCACAATTTTAACCTTCAGATCTACTATAAGATACCGTTTAGCATGGAGGGGGGAGTGAGGGGGGGGGCAGGTCTAACTGACTGCCTGGCCAATGTGGCCTCCAAAAACTCTGCAGGGTTTCCTGTGACTTCAGCCCTGAGCGAGTAGGGAATAAAGTTCATTTTCCCCCCCCACTTGTGGCAATCAAGCTGCATCGCGTAATTCCTTCACCTTTGCATCTAAGGTAGTATTTCTCAACCTTAGCAAGTTTAAGCTGTGTAGATTTCAACTCTACGAAGGAACTCCATCCTGATTCAGTTGAAATACGTACAGTTAGTCCTCGACTTATGACAAGAATGGAGCCCAGAATTTATGCTGCGAAGTGAGAAATTTGTTAAGTGGGTTTTGCCCCATTTTATCTCTGTTTTACCTGGCCAAGCCAGGAGCCGGATCTGTGATTAGCTGAACATTAAAAGCCAGTTCTCTGCTCCTGCCGGCATCCCTCAAATCTGAGCAGTGGCTTCCACTTTCTCCTCTTATCTGTGCATCTGGTGGCATGTTATTAATCATTTCCTCTATCCCATTTTAGAGACAGCTGCAGCCTAAAATAGGCTTCCCAGCCCAAGGGGAGTTCTTGGAGCAAGCAAATTGAAGAGCTCCACAATTTGAGAATAAGTCATTTGGATGGCCCCTCTCTTTGGGGTTCATAATCTCTGAAAGATCCAACACTAATATAGGCTTCATATAGAATATTAAGCATGCCGGCTGGGGAATTCTGGGAATTGAAGTCCACATCTTAAAGTCGCCAAGCTGAGATACACTGTATTAAATATTCTATATGAAGCCTATATTAG